ATGACAATATAAAGTCTTGACATACTCCTTTCCTAATTTTGAACCCAGTGCTGAATTCTTTTTGCTTGTCTGAGAAATTTTTTATCTCTCTTTCTATTCTAAATGATAATCATACTGGGCAGAGTATCCTAGATTTTAAGTTTTTTTCCTTTCAGGACTTTGAATATAGCATGCCACTCCTTTCTGGTCTGTAAACTTTCTGCAGAGAAACCAGCTGATAGCCTTTTAGGGGTTCCCTTGTGAACTGACTTTTTGTTTTTCTCTTGCTGCTTTTAGAATCCTCTCTTTATTGTTAACTTTTGTCATTTTAATTACCACATGTCTTGATGTGAGTGTTTGGTTTCACCTTGTTTGGGACTCTCTGTGCTTCCTATGCCTGGAGATCTTCTTGCTTTAAGTTTGGGAAGTTTTCAGCCAACTTTTCTTCAAATACCTTTTTGATCCCCTTGTCTCTCTCTCCTGCTTCTGGAACCCCTCTTATGTATAGGTTCACATGTTTTATTGTATATTATCCAATAGATCTGTTGCTTTCTTTTCTTCTTCTTTTTCTTTTTTTTCTGTCTGCTGTTCTGATTGGTTGATTTCCATTATTCTACTTTTCAAATCACTTATTTGTTCTTCTGTGTTATTTAATTGGCTACTCACTGCTTCTAGATTGGTTTTCATCTCAGCAATTGGATTCTCTACTTTTGATTAGTTCATCTTTATCATTTCTAATTTCTTATTTCTGTGATCTGCATTTCTATCAATAATCTTTCTTAACTCACCATTTTTATTATCACCTTTTCTGAACTTGGTAGTCTAGTAGACTGGTGAACTCTGTTTCATTATTCTTGCAGAGATTCCCCTTGTTCTTTTAACTGGGATTAACTCTTCTGCCTTTTCATTTCATTCAACTTTCTCTGTCTCTATGAATTCAGGAAAAATAGCTATCTATGTAGTCTTGAAGGGGTGTTTTTATGTGGGGACATTCCTATGTAGACTGCATCCAGAGTTCTTGGTGTGATGACTGCTTTTGCTATGGACACCTGCGTATGTTTTCTAAGGGTATGCTGGCCATTATCCCTGTGATAGGTGTGTGGTTGGTGTTACAGTGTCCAGAGTCTGTGCAGGTTGTGGAGCAGGGCTTGCTGCTCTGCTCCGTCCTGTTGCGGTACACCCTATTGGAAGCAAGGCGGCCTCCTCAGTTGCTGGAGCAGAAGCCCTG